TGTAGTACAAAGTAGTACTGGGGAGTGCTTTGTGCAACATTTGTAGTACAAAGTAGTACTGCGGAGTGCTTTGTGCAAGCTTTGTAGTACAAAGTAGTACTGCGGAGTGCTTTGTGCAAGCTTTGTAGTACAAAGTAGTACTGCAGAGTGCTTTGTGCAACTTTTGTAGTGCAAAGTAGTACTGCAGAGTGCTTTGTGCAACTCTTGTAGTACAAAGTAGTACTGCGGAGTGCTTTGTGCAAGCTTTGTAGTACAAAGTAGTACTGGGAAGTAGTTTGTGCAAGCAATGAAGAACAAAGTAGTACTGTGGAGTGCTTTGTGCAAGCTTTGTACTACAAAGTAGTACTGCGGAGTGCTTTGTGAAAGCTTTGTAGTACAAAGTAGTACTGCGGAGTGCTTTGTGCAACTTTTGTAGTACAAAGTAATACTGCGGAGTGCTTTGTGCAAGCTGTGTAGTACAAAGTAGTACTGCGGAGTGCTTTGTGCATTTTTTGTAGTACAAAGTAGTACTGCGGAGTGCTTTGTGCAAGCTTTGTAGTACAAAGTAGTATTGGGAAGTAGTTTGTGCAAGCTTTGTAGTACAAAGTAGCACTGGGAAGTAGTTTGTGCAAGCTTTGTAGTACAAAGTAGTACTGCGGAGTGCTTTGTGCAAGCTTTGTAGTACAAAGTAGTACGGGGAAGTAGTTTGTGCAAGCTTTGTAGTACAACGTAGTACTGCAGAGTGCTTTGTGCAACTTTTGTAGTGCAAAGTAGTACTGCAGAGTGCTTTGTGCAACTCTTGTAGTACAAAGTAGTACTGCGGAGTGCTTTGTGCAAGCTTTGTAGTACAAAGTAGTACTGCGGAGCGCTTTGTGCAAGCCTTGCAGTACAAAGTAGTACTGCGGAGTGCTTTGTGCAAGCTTTGTAGTACAAAGTAGTACTGCGGAGTGCTCTGCGCAACTTTTGTAGTACAAAGTAGTACCGCGGAGTGCTTTGTGCAACTTTTGTAATACAAAGTGGTACTGCGGAGTGCTTTGTGCAACTTTTGTAGTACAAAGTAGTACTGCGGAGTGCTTTGTGCAAGCTTTAAAGTACAAAGTAGTACTGCGGAGTGCCTTGTGCAAGCTTTGTAGTACAAAGTAGTACTGCAGAGTGCTTTGTGCAACTTTTGTAGTACAAAGTGGTACTGCGGAGTGCTTTGTGCAACTTTTGTAGTACAAAGTAGTACTACGGAGAGCTTTGTGCAACTTTTGTAGTACAAAGTAGTACTGCGGAGTGCTTTGTGCAAGCTTTGTAGTACAAAATAGCACTGCAGAGTGCTTTGTGCAAGCTTTGTAGTACAAAGTAGTATTGCGGAGTGCTTTGTGCAAGCTTTGTAGTACAAAGTAGTACTGCGGAGTGCTTTGTGCAACTTTTGTAGTACAAAGTAGTACTGCGGAGTGCTTTGTGCAAGCTTTGTAGTACAAAGTAGTACTGCGGAGCGCTTTGTGCAAGCCTTGTAGTACAAAGTAGTACTGCGGAGCGCTTTGTGCAAGCCTTGTAGTACAAAGAAGGACTGGGAGTTGTTTTGTGCAACTTTTGTAGTACAAAGTAGTACTGGGAAATGCTTTGTGCAAGCTTTGTAGTACAAAGTAGTACTGGGGAGTGCTTTGTGCAAGCTTTGTAGTACAAAGTAGTACTGCAGAGTGCTTTGTGCAACTTTTGTAGTACAAAGTAGTACTGCGGAGTGCTTTGTGCAAGCTTTGTAGTACAAAGTAGTACTGCTGAGTGCTTTGTGCAAGCTTTGTAGTACAAAGGAGTACTGCGGAGTGCTTTGTGCAAGCTTTGTAGTACAAAGTAGTACTGCAGAGCGCTTTGTGCAACTTTTGTAGTACAAAGTAGTACTGCGGAGTGCTTTGTGCAAGCTTTGTAGTACAAAGTAGTACTGGGAAGTAGTTTGTGCAAGCAATGAAGAACAAAGTAGTACTGCGGAGTGCTTTGTGCAACGTTTCTAGTACAAAGTAGTACTGGGGAGTGCTTTGTGCAAGCTTTGTAGTACAAAGTAGTACTGGGAAGTGTTTTGTGCAAGCCCTGCAGTACAAAGTAGTACTGGGAGTTGTTTTATGCAACTTTTGTAGTACAAAGTAGTACTGGGGAGTGCTTTGTGCAAGCTTTGTAGTACAAAGTAGTACTGGGGAGTGCTTTGTGCAAGCTTTGTAGTACAAAGTAGTGCTGGAACGTGTCTTGTGCAAGCTTTGTAGTACAGAGTAGTACTGGGAACTAGTTTTTGCAAGCTTTTGTAGTAGACATCATTACTGGAAAGTACTTGACATGAAAATAGCCAAGAAGAACTTAGCTGACATATGGGAAGACATGGAATGAGATGAGAATAGCTCCGATGAGATGAGTTGAGATGAAGTGCAAGTGTGAAGTGTGGAGTGTGGGGTGTGAAGAGTGCAATGTGAAGTCTGAGGAAAGTGTTTGCATTGCACCGGTGTCGCGCGCAGGTCATGTTCTTATGTTCTTGGCCACAACACTACAACAGCTTCGCACAGCTTCGCACAGCTTCGCACAAAGCACGCACAGCCCTGGCTGGAGCACGGCGCATGCAAGGTCCTTCGTAGTAGTACTGGGAAGTGATTCATGGAAGCTTGCGTGATCTATGAGAAGAGATGAGATGAGAAGAGATGAGCTGGGTTAAGGTGAGAGGAGCTCAGATGAGATGAAGTGTGGAGTGTGAAGTGTGAAGAGTGCAGTGAGACGTGTGGGGCGTGAAGAGTGCAGTTTTGAAGAGTGAAGTGTGAAGTGTGGACTGTGAAGTTTGAAGTGTGAAGTGCCAAGTGTGCAGTCTTAAGAGCACCGTGTGAAGTGAAGTGTGGAGTGCGAAGAGTGCAGTGTGAAGTGTGAAGTGTGGAGTGTGAAGAGTGCAGTGAGTGAGTTAGTAGTAGTCGTAGTAGTAGTAGTAGTAGTAGGAGTAGCAGTAGTAGTAGTAGTAGCAGTAGTAGTAGTAGTAATAGTAGTAGTAGTAGTAGGCGTGGTGGTGGTGGTGGTAATAGTAAAAGGAGTAGTCGTAGCCGTAGTCACATTAGTAGAAGAAGTAGTAGTAGTAGCAGTAGTAGTAGTAGTAGCAGTAGCAGAAGTAGTAGTAGCAGTAGTAATAGTAGGAGTAGTAGTACTAGCAGTAGTAGAAGTAGTCGTAGCTGTAGCAGTAGCAGCAGCAACAGCAGCAGCAGCAGTAGTAGCAGTAGTACTAATAGTAGCACGCGTCGTCGTAACAGCAGTCGTAGTCGTAATGTCCCACCGTGAGCATGCCACTTCATGCCACTTCATGCCACTTCAAGTGGGTCAAGTGGCGTGAAGTGGCGTGAAGTGGCGAAATCGGTTTACGCACTTCCTGCGTGCTCAATGATAAACCCAGAACCAGAGATAAACACTCTTGTATATGAACCCAAGTTGCGCAAGTTGCACAACTCGAATCTGTTTGTGCCCTTGCAAGTGCTCACACTTAGAACCTCTTTGTTTACGTACTCATATACTCACAAGTATACGCTTAGCGTATAATAGATACTCCTGCATATGAACTCATGTTGTGTGAACTAAGGTATTCCTCTCGCCTTGCGAGTGCTCACACTTAGAACCTCTTTGTATACATACATATGCTCACAAGTACGCATATATCATATCACAGATACTTTTGTATATCAACCCTTGCTGTGCACTCTCATACTTGTTTGTGCCCTTGCGGGCGCTCACACTTAGAACCTCTTTGTATACATGCATATATTCGCAAGTATTAGTTTCATATCATATCATGGATAGTTTTGTATATGATCCCATGTTGTGCGAAATCACTCATGTTTGCGCACTTGCAAGTGCTCACACATTGAAGCTCTTTGTATACATGCCTTAACTCACAAGTATGCATGTGTTACATCATAAACACTCTTGTAATCTCTTGTGTATAAAACGATGTTGTGCAAACTTACGTATGTCTGTGCCCTTTTGATTGCTTGCACTTAGAATCTCTTGTTTGTATCATGTTGTATACATATATTCACAAGTATACATTCATTATATCATAAATACGCTTGTATATTAACGTAAACTGTGCAACTCGAATCCGTCTGTGCCCTTGCGAGTACTCACACTTAGAACCTCTTTGGATGCATACATATACAGTACTCACAAGTATACACATATCATATTTCAGATGCTTTTGTGTATGAACCCATGTTGTGCGAACACACATCTGTCTGTTTCCTGGCGAGTGCTCACCTTTCGAAGCTTGTCTTACATACATATATTCACAAGTAAACACAGATCATATTGTAGATACTTGTGTATATTCACCCAAGTTGTACAAACTTACATATGTCTGTGTCCTTGCGAGCGCTCACACTCAGAACCTTATACATGCACATACTCACCAAGTACACATTTGTTATATCATAAATAGTTTTGTATATGAACCGATGTTGTGCAACCTCACGTTTGTCTGTGCCCTTGCGAGTGCTCACACTCATAACTTTGCCAAAATCGAAAACGTGTATAAAGCTGTGATCAGTACAATGAAGTGATTGTAATTTAACGTAGTTGTATCAATTTTTGAACGTTTTTTTCAAATCAATCAATGCATTTGCAATTATATTGTAATCATTATTAATGTTTGTTCAACATTAAGGTTCTAAGTGTGAGGTTTTAACAATAAACATGATCCTCTAAGTCTAACACTTAGAAGATCCTTCCCGGCACGTATCCGAAAAAAAAATCTTCTAAGTGACTGTCCGGCAGTATTGCTGCATTGAGCATGAACGGCAATCAATTCAATCAATCATAACAATGATAGAAGATGATAGAAGTGCAAACAGCCTGATGTTATATTATATGCAAAAAAAACCTCTGATCACATTTGTGTCTAACTATGATAACTTACGGTTCTTCTGCTCAAGTACTGTTTCTGCAGTGCTGGGAGGGTCTGCACCGACAGAGGATCGTTCCTGTGCAATCACTTGCTGCTGCATTCTCGTCAAAATCTAGTCCTTCTACTGCCTGTTGTCTTGAAGGACAGCGATAGTATCTATACATAAATCATTGTGAAATTTACACCAAAATTGGGGCAAGTGCAACATACATCCAAATAAATCCAAATAATCCATATCACATACATGGATGCAGCGTTGGGCTTGAAAGTGCCTGGGTAGAAACTTCTTCTGGCTTTGGGACCTCTGGCTGAACTGCTGGCTCAACCGCAGGCACGATGGCCACATCCTCCTGATACAACCCATCCACTACAGTCGCTGCGGCAGTCCCACTCTTAACGGGACTTGCATTGACAGTGAAGAATGAAATCGAACCAAGGCTTGTCAAGTGAAACTGCACCCCTGACAAACCAAGACACAAATGACCGCCTTCACAGCAAGAAACGCAAACAGCGTGGTGTGTGCTGACTGCGCTGTAGATCTTTCAGGGGGCCGTGGAAAATGAAACCCCTTCCGATCACATTTGCCTCTAACTCTGTCCAGCTACGACAACTTGCGGTCCTTCTGCTCAAGTACTGCTGTCTCTTCAGTGCTGGGAGAGTCAGCAGCAACAGTGGATCGTTCCTGCACAATCAGTTCCCACAGCATGTCTACAATATGTATGTCTGTCACTGCCTGTCTCCCACTATGGCAACTATTGCCAACATTTGCCTCCATTACATGCATCATGTTGCCATATTTTACACCACAATTGCAATAAATGTGTTTATTCATACAATGAAAATGAAATGAATGCAGCGTTGAGCTGGAAAGTGCCTGGGTAGAAACTTCTTCTGGCTTTGGGACCTCTGGCTGAACTGCTGGCTCAACCGCAGGCACGATGGCCACATCCTCCTGATACAACCCATCCACTACAGTCGCTGCGGCAGTCCCACCCTTAACGGGACTTGCATTGACAGTGAAGAATGAAATCGAACCAAGGCTTGTCAAGTGAAACTGCACCCCTGACAAACCAAGACACAAATGACCGCCTTCACAGCAAGAAACGCAAACAGCGTGGTGTGTGCTGACTGCGCTGTAGATCTTTCAGGGGGCCGTGGAAAATGAAACCCCTTCCGATCACATTTGCCTCTAACTCTGTCCAGCTACGACAACTTGCGGTCCTTCTGCTCAAGTGCTGCTGTCTCTTCAGTGCTGGGAGAGTCAGCAGCAATAGTGGATCGTTCCTGCACAATCAGTTCCCACAGCATGTCTACAATATGTATGTCTGTCACTGCCTATCTCCCACTATGGCAACTATTGCCAACATTTGCCTCCATTACATGCATCATGTTGCCATATTTTACACCACAATTGCAATAAATGTGTTTATTCATACAATGAAAATGAAATGAATGCAGCGTTGAGCTGGAAAGTGCCTGGGTAGAAACTTCTTCTGGCTTTGGGACCTCTGGCTGAACTGCTGGCTCAACCGCAGGCACGATGGCCACATCCTCCTGATACAACCCATCCACTACAGTCGCTGCGGCAGTCCCACTCTTAACGGGACTTGCATTGACAGTGAAGAATGAAATCGAACCAAGGCTTGTCAAGTGAAACTGCACCCCTGACAAACCAAGACACAAATGACCGCCTTCACAGCAAGAAACGCAAACAGCCTGATGTTAGTGTGTTGACTGCCCTATAGATCTTTCAGGGTGCCGTGGAAAATGAAACCCCTTCCGATCACATTTGCCTTTAACATCTTTAACTCTGTCCAGCTACGACAACTTGCGGTCCTTCTGCTCAAGTACTGCTGTCTCTGCAGTTCTGGGAGGGTCTGCAGCAACAGTGGATCGTTCCTGCACAATCAGTTCCCGCAGCATCTCTACAAAATGTATGTCTGTCACTCCCTATTTCCCACGAGGGCCAATATTGCTAACATTTGCCTACATTACATGCATGATGTTGCCATATTTTACACTACAGTTGCAATAAATTCGTTTATCATTTTACCCATACAATGAAATGAATGCAGCGTTGAGATTGAAAGTGCCTGGGTAGAAGCTTCTTCTGGCTTTGGGACGTCTGGCTGAACTGCTGGCTCAACCGCAGGCACGATGGCCACATCCTCCTGATACAACCCATCCACTACAGTCGCTGCGGCAGTCCCACTCTTAACGGGACTTGCATTGACAGTGAAGAATGAAATCGAACCAAGGCTTGTCAAGTGAAACTGCACCCCTGACAAACCAAGACACAAATGACCGCCTTCACAGCAAGAAACGCAAACAGCCTGATGTTAGTGTGTTGACTGCCCTATAGATCTTTCATAGAGTTGCCGCCGTGAAAAAGGCAAAACTCATCTGATCACATCTGCGACTGGCTACCAAAGTTCAAATGCAAAAAGATTGCAACTTGCGGTCCTTCCGCTCGAGTGCTGGTGTTTCTTTAGTGCTGCGAGTGTCTGCAGCGGCAGAGGATCGTTC